TGATCTGTTTGGCCTGGAGAAGAAGAGACTGAGGGGAGACCTCACTGTGGTCTTCAGCAGCCTCACAATGGGAAGAGGAGGGGCAGGCACTGATCTCTTCACTCTCATGACCAGCGACAGGACTTGAGGAGATGGCATGAAGCAGAGTCAGGGAGGTTTGGGTTGGATACCAGGTAAAGGTTCTTCACCCAGAGGGTGACTGTACATTGGAACAGCTCCCCACAGAAGTGGCCACAGCACTAAGCCAGACAGAGTTCAAGAAGCATTTGGACAGCACTCTCAGGCACATGGTATGATTTTTGGGGTGTCCTGTGCAGGGCCAGGAGTTGGACACAATGATCCTGATGGGTCTCTTCCAACACAGCATATTCTATAATTCTGTGATTCTATGGTGTTTTGATGCTGTGAACCTAAATGACAGCAAGGGCAGACATCAGCAGTGTTGAAAAGTAACTGTCATGCACTAAACATTAAACACTGTATTTTAATCAAGACAGATTTAAGTAGTTAATCTGTGTTTTCAAAGAAACATTAAAAAATGTGGGATTCCAATTTATTCTCTGGGGCAGGAACACCTTTACTGATGGGAGAAGAGAACAGAAGGAAACTCTGAACTGCTTTAGTATCTGTGTAATTAAATTTTTGGCATCACCTCTGTGATCACCCTCTGTCCTACTGAGATGTTTTTGAAAATAAAAAAAGTACAGGGTCACTTTTGTAATAGGATGTAGGTCCTTCAGATGAAATGAAATTCATTGTCTTGAGCCCCAATGCTTTCCACTGCCAACTCTCTTCAACATGGCACATGTGCCCCAGTCTTGGGAACCTAACAGTCTGTCTCAAACTGTCCTTAATATTATGAAATTAATCTTCCATTTTCTTCTATTCTTGCTTCTGTTTTCACCTCACCATGAAGTGATTTGTTGCAACATACTTTACTTTTGTTTACTGCCCAGCTACTGGCCTATAATAAAGCAAGAAGACAAGGGTGTGTAAATACCAAGAGTGTACTGTCATTAAAAAAAGAGAGATTGTATTGGATTTCACTTTCTAGACCAGAGACAGTAAACCACTACTTCTAAGTGATGGAGCCATGACATTTTCTACTTGAAGGACAAGACAGAGAAGAATTAGGTCCTCAGCTTTTGCTCTTGTCTCTGACTCCTGGTTAAGGTCATGTAATTAAAATGATGCTATGATGACATATATACTTTTTTGTTTCGCAGAGGATTATGGCTTCAAAAATTTACTTCAAAGGTGATGTGGATGTCCTGAGTGCTCTATAATCTTCAAAAAACACTGTTGTCTTGTTTGAGCTGTCACTACAGTATTTGACATGGAAACAGAAAAGAAAAAGAAAAATGTGTATTTTGGAGAATGTGAAGAGATTTGAATCAGTTTAGAAGGATAATGTTTCTTTAACTGGATAATCGATATGAGACTTTCCTACCAAGTATGAAAGGTTCCATATCAGTCACCTCTAGGCCAGTCTAAAAAATATTGCAAATTATTTAGGCAGTCATTAAATATGACCTTTGTTCTTGGCAGCAGCACAAGGAAAGCAAGAAACAATTAAGCAAGTGACTGTGGAAAGCACTACTGACTGATTTCAACACTGAGTTTGTTTTCTGCTGTGAGATGTTTTTTGCCTCTTGTAGTTTCATTTTCCCATGTTGGAACAAAGACAAAGATATCATTTTAGTGCCTACAAATCTAGTTACGTTGATTAGCATTATACATTTAGAACTGGCAACAGTTATTTTCATGCAGAGTGTAGCATCCAGCATTACTGTTTACATTTTTATGTTTCTAGGTTATGAATTTTTTAGTAATTCTCTGAAATTTGCAAAGTAAGCTATAGTGTATTGCTGAGTTCTAGAAAAAAAAAAAAAAAAAGTACTGGGCCAAATGCTCCTTCAAGGCATAAGAAATTATTAAGAAAAATCTTTTGGTCCTTTGCACTTTCATCTCACTGAGCTGAACCAAAACAATTCCTCAAAGAATGGCATTGGACATCTACCCTGACCACTGACAGGTGCTAAAGAGACTTTCCAAAATGCCTAAGTATTGAGCTACCAAGCTCCTCTTGATTCTCATGAAATTAGGCAGCTCAGCACTTGGAAATATCCCACTAGGTTAACATTTCTAAGATGTTTCAGGAAGATTCAGAATCTTTTAACACAAGGACCCAAATTTTATTTTTAGACATCTACTGAAAAAAATTGTCTGCTTTTCTCTTACACTAAATGCCTGCAGTAGGATCCAATACAGAAAAACCAACCTAGGGGATCCTATGATCGATTCTAAGAGAATACACATGGGAAACCTCTTTAAAACAAGTATATAACAGGCTAGTTTACCTTAAATATCTTACTTCTCATCTCAGTTTTTGTGAATGAGATAAAATATTTTTGACAGAAGAATTATAAATTTGAATAGGTTATGAGTCTACAGATCTGTTTCAGCAGATCTTCACTGGGATATTACCCTTGGAGGATGATAGCACTATCAGCCCTGACGAAAGGAGAGAAAACAAAAATTTACAGTCATCAGAAACTCCAGGAATTCAAGTACTGAAGTAACAACATATTCTTTCTGTGCAAATGGTAAAAACTGGACAGCAAGGAGTAGGTTCCTCTATAAAGTCAACCAAAAATAGAGGTGTTTTGCATATAATCACTTCTATTTCATCCTTTACATTGTTTACATATCACAAGAATTCCCGTTAACTAATTTACATGCACCATTTCTAATTAAAATATCTTGTGAATTTAACAAAAAAGTCAAACTTACTCTTGCATGGTGGGAGAACAGGCTGAGGAGAGGATGGATCTGATGGATGAGAGCAACATATCTGTTATCAGACACTGTGCTTTATAACAGAGGTTAAAAGAATTGGAATTATCTTGTCACTCAAGGAGAAGAATTAGAGAGGGAATGTCATGCCTCTTGAAATGTGTAAGTCATTGGAAAAGTGGAATGAAGTACTATTTATCAGAATATTTCCTACGGAGAGGATGAGGGTTTCAAATGCAACAACGGAGACTTAAGTTACATGTTAGGAGAAAAAGAGTTTAACTGTAAAGGCTGGGAGACAGGAGGAGGAGGCCAGAAAGTGGTCTTAATAACATCTGCTGCACGTGGAAAAGGTCTGGCTGGCTCTGCCACAAGGCAAAAGGATGAACTAGATGAGCTCCTGGAGTCATTTCCAGCCCTCATTGCTGTGATTCTGAGATTTATCATATTAGAAAGCTTTTCTATAGTTATATTGTCCACCAGCAGTAATATCCCTATCAAAACCACGTTATTCATGGGACGCATGAGCACATGAGAACAGAAGTTTTCCGAGGACTGAAACACTGCATCCATCATTTTATATCATTTCTTAATTGTAAAACAGTGGTGTGGTCTAGCTCAAGAAATTTGGGAGTTATCAAGAACCCTATTATCAGGAACCATCTGTTTTATTTCAATGTTTAAAAGGTTAGAGGCTAGATGTCCAGCAGTAGTTTCATTTCTTCATTTCTATAGCCTAAACAGTCACTGAGATGCTTGTTTATGCAAAAAAAAAAAAAAAAATTACATTAAGAGAGTTATCTTTTGCAAATCTTTAAATAATGTATGAACTTCCTTCTATTATTTCATAATGTGTACCCTTAAATAATATGCTGTTATGCTAGTCACATCATAAAATTAAACCATTTGGAAACAAATTAATACCAGATATAGTTTAATTGTCCATGTAAGTAAATTATGAATGGTAAGCAAATAACTTTAATAGTAATAAAAAGGTCTAATACTGACATTGCATCATACTGAAGTTAATTTTTAGCACAGATGATTTGTTTGAAGAAGAAGTAGCTTAACTTTGATAGTAAATACAGCTTTCAAGCCATGCAGAGGAGATGAGAGTATGAAGTCATATTCCCAGATACCTATGTTATTGTAGAAAATAATTCCTTATGTGCAAGGGAATGTTTCTCCTGCATTAAACCATTAATATAGATGAGTGGCATGCAAATGGGAATGCCTGCATATGAATATACTGATCTGGTGCTTTCTTTGGTCTCTCACATACAGGCAAACAAGAACCTCAAATGAAATCTGGGCCTAGGAAGAGCTGCCCTACATGTTGCTGATCCCTGAACTCCAAGAACAAGCTACTTTATCTGAATTGTCATCTTCTATATTCCTTGAAGAGAAGTAGTCTGCCACTCTTGATGGGAGTTCAATTTCTTATGAAATGTATGCCATGAATGTATGCCAGTTTAAATATCAAAATTGCTCTGTGCATTTCCATATAATTGAAAATAAAGATCTCTCATCATCCTTCCTACAGAGCACTTTAAGTGCCACACCCCAGCCTGTAATTTAGTGACAGAAAGAAAGGCTACTGCCATAGTTTATCAGCCTTCCCCCTGTACCCAGGGGAGGCTGAGGATGCAATGCAGCCACCCGAGCAGCTCCTTGCTGTCCCTGCATGCAATCCTTGCAGAGAACAGGCACTCAGGTGGTGCTCAGACATCAGTGCATAAAGAACCTTTCTCAGTGCTCCCAAAAACTTGTCCCCATACTCTCCTGCCTGCAGATACCACCCTGTCTTTTTCAAGAGGTCTGGCCCTCTGCTTCCATTCTATCTCTTGTAATGAGCTGTATTTGGATAATGGCTGCCCCTCCCTCCACCCAGGCAGCTGGAGTCATATCCTGTCTTCCTGCATTTTTTTATTTCTGCACCTCATCAACACTCATTTTTTGTAAGTGGTTGGTCTTTGCAGATTGGACTTCCCTCAGCATGTTGAAAAAGCTTGCCAGCCTTGTGGAAGAGACCAGCTTGGAACATAAAAACATCTGATAAAATGCATTATGAAGCCCATTAAACTCCCATCCATGGGTTGTCCTTTATCATTAACAAAAATGTTTATGATCACACCCTCCTCTTGAAAGTCCTGTCTGAAAGCATTTAATGTCTTTACATCTCGTCTCTCAAATTTTTTTTTTACCTTATGCATCAGATCCTCATTTCTGTTGTTCATTGTAGCACAGAAGAAGGTCCTCATCACAATTTCCTAAAGAAAGAGTGTAACAATCAAAGTCAGACGTCAAAGTGCATCTACTAATAACTGTTTAAGGGAGTAAGCAGGGTTTATTCATCTACTAACCAGTGTTTTTAGATTCTTGAGTTAATGACAGTCCATCAGGTTCTGTTGCTCAGCAAAAGATGTAATCAGAAACAAAATCTAGCTGAGACCATTTATATTATTCTACAGTGTGTGGGTTTAATGTGCTGTACTTTGAAACAACTCTCATTTCACTTCTATAGAACTTCTATAGTGTAAAACATTATATTCCCTGTGTAAATCAGTAATTATGTTCTTGTAGTTTGAAGACTCACTCACTTCTCAGAAAAAAACCCATCAAATCAAAGTTATAATAATGAATAAGGAAGGATAATTCAAGCTATGTTTTTTTGTTTCTTACTGCTCTGGCATCCTTCCTTCTATGCTTTTCTGTTCAGCTTAAGTGATTTGACTTCCTGAGCCATTTCTTTAGTCTAACCAGTGCTCTAATTTTAGGTTTATCAGATGGCTCACAAGACATTTTCTCAGTGTAATTCTGTCCGTTTCCATACAGTCATTACTGTGTTGGGGGTCAGAAGAAGAAAGAACATTTAGACTCTATTTCTAATTCATCCTTTGTATATTTGCAGGGAATTCAGTTCCAAGAAAGCCTAAATAACAAAATGCATGGCCTCACAACATGCTGCGAAGTGCTCATTATCTGAATACACTCTGACTGCTTTTGCAAACAGATGCTCCAAATACTGTTCTTAATTAAATATCAAGGGTTGGATTCCAATATTGGTCCATGCCAGCATAAGATAGCACAAATCCTGGCACTGGGCCCCAATCCAACAAAGGATGGTTGTGAATGCCTGAAACATTGCAGGCTTCCCTCTCTTGTGGGCAGACCTGCTAGACACTGAGATATAATGCAAGAGTCAGGATTTTGGGGTGTTTCTCAGGTGCCAGGGTGGGAGTACAGCCCAGGTGGCTGCTTGACAGCAGACTTGTGTATGGATTGGGCATGACACTCTCCAGTCAGGCTGGACTGAGCTGCTTCTTATATCGTCAACAACCACCACTACAAATTCCTTCAATCTTTGAGGAAGATACAGCAGTCAAAGTCAAGTCAGGAGCTGAAGGAAGAACTATGAGCTGAGCTTTCACTTAAACAATTCCTCCTTTTTTCTTACCACCTGATGGGATTTTTTTCTGCTAGTAATGGCTGTGCAATAGTTTTGAGATAGTTATGGAGATGGTAAAAGATGTATTTTAGGAGTGTGGAGTGACCCTTAATACTCAGGGGTTTGGTGTTTTGTTTTGACAAGAAGAAGAGATAAAACACTTGGAAGAGAGGAAAAGAAAAGGAAAATGTAGGTATCAAAGGGATCTTTTCTTTAAGCTGATGACTTTTGAGCCACTTCAACATTGCATAATGTAACCCATCTGTTTATCTGTTTTCCTTCTAATTCAACCCTTCAGAAAAGATGGCAGGAGCACCTGTGAAGCAAACATCTGAATTTTTGCCATCATTCCAGTGAACATCATTGCTTATGCTTTATAACTCTTTCCTTACCCTATTTATAGCTGATCTACCTCTATTACAAACAGTTGTAGTACAGACACTGCCTACAACTTTGTACAAGGATACCTCATGCATATTTTGTTCCTAGTCAGCATTGAAATAATTTGCTAATGTTTAACATTGAATGCATAGAGGCAAACTAAGCAGGGCCAGCACTGTAGGATTTCATTACATTCTAAAGAAAAAGCACTTGTATTCTAATTCCAGTTTTACTTTATTATATCCTTAGTTTCAGGCTCTGGGAAGAATCTTCAGGGACTGCATCTTATCAATCTGTTTGCTTCCATGCTTAAGTGGGGTTTAAGGTTTTTGACACTCATGAAGAAAATGCCCCTTTTTGGGTGAGATTTGGATGCTTAGCACAGCAGCAGCAATAAAACTCAGCAAACTGGAATGCACACTCAGGTATTCCTGTAAAACTTGCATCTCTCTTGTTTCCTTGAATGGGAACAGTCGCAAAAAACTTGCGGGTAGTTCTCGTTCTCTGCCTTTTCCTCAACAGATCTGTTGTGTAGAAATCCCCGAAGACAGTGAAAGGCACAGTGCTTTCCCCCGCATCTCCACTGGCATTTTTAAGCATTGTCCCAGGCTTTTTACCAAGCCCATCTGTTTTACTCTATGCCACTTCTCTGCAATCTAAGAGAACTAGAGGGCTTCTCTGGGGAGGAAAAGAGGAGCACAGTTATCCACTTACTGTATCCTCTCAATATCTTCCTCTGGGTGCAGTTGACTACTTGAACAACCCAGTGAGGTTTCCCCCTTGGTATGTATCCAGCAGCCTTCAGGGCTAACACAGTGTCCTCTAATAACTCCAGATCAGCAAACACTGTGAGTCAGGAATGGAAGTGACCCATGCTTGGAAGGGTTTTGGCAGCAAAGATACAAACACATATAGACCTGTCAGATGCTATGGAGGTGAGGGCTCCAGGAGAGGCTGGGGGCAGTGCTGTCAGTGCATGGTGCTGCTGCAGGTGGGCTTCAACCCCCAGACTGAAAGGGCCTCTGAGGTCTGAGATAGCCCAGCGGTCAGTGTATGTCCTCATCAGGGTGCAAATGCTGAGGAAAGCGGTATAAGAGGGGGGGAAAAGCATGAATTTGTAATGTTTTCCTGTTTTGGTTTTGTGCGTGTGTCTACCTGCAGAAAAATCAAGTGAGGAAAAGGGAGCGTTATAAAACATTATCTATAGAAACTGACAGTATGCCCTCTAACAAAATTCCCCTTCAGCATTAAAAAAAAATAAAAAGGAAAATTTAGTGTTTGCATGCAGCTTATTTCCACTACAGCCAGGTAAGAAATCACATTCCTGTCATGCATTACAGGACTATTCCAGTCACAAAATTCTTTTACACGTCCATCTTCATGGTGTCTTCTCAGGAATAAATTGTATTCCCAGAAGGTCAATAAAGAGTTTTCATTGTGCCAGAATCATGAGTCCACTCAGTGAACAAGTGAAACAAAGATATTCAGTGCAAGCTGCTTTGAAGGGTTAACAATATAGCGGTGAGTTTTAAAAGTGTGAGGGGTAGTTGTACTCACCGCTACAAAGATAAAGCTGTTGCTTTGTATGTCAGTTACTTCTGACTGTACTTTTCTCTTTCCCCACGATTGGTGTGCATGTCTGGCAGAGTACAACTAATTGCCTTTCTGAGTATGAAGAAGGAAATTAACTTATTTTTCTTTCTATGCAGAAATGAAGAAAAATATTTATTTTATCAGTTTGGAGTTATGAGAACAAACAACATGACCGGCAGAAAGTTTTTAAAGAATTGTGATTTTTTTTGTGCATCAAAGAGGTAGAGCAATCACAGAATCTGAGCATAGAGGAAGCTATTAGAAACTTTGGAAGGACTGAGCCCTTTTGATTCAGCCTTGCAGTGCTTGTCCAGCAATGTTGAAACCCTGCTAAACAGACTCCTATTTATCTGCAAAAATGTGTGACACAAGTAAGGGCGACAGTACTGAGACGGTATTGCAGTGTTAAGCAGTATTTTCTGCAAGTCTTTTTGTATCAGAAAAGTAAGATGTGATTCATTTAGTGTGCCTCTTTCCCCAGATATATATGGTGCCATTCCACTGATTTTTTTACAGTATAACATACAGGAGACCAAATCCTAGTGAGGTAGTTTCAGGAATTTATTACTTATGGCAACGTCCATGGTATATTGCAGCAATTAGCAGTGTGCAAGAATAGAATCTTTCTCCTCCATAGCACCATGATCATGACAATGTATCAACTATATGAGGATGTTACACACTTTTATAGGCACAATTAAAAGGATTAAGTGAGTTTGCTGAATATATTCTCCATGTGGGGCAATGCTTAATAGTAATAATTGTATAATGAATGTAGCATGCAAGTTATCTTGTGTGACCTGATTAGTCAGAAATAATGTTTCCACTCTTTGGAATGAGATTGTTATCAGTTTCAATAAAAACAAGTAAGACTACACTTGATGTGAACTTTGTGCTTCTAGCGTAGTCAAATCTCTACATAAAGCATTTAAGAGACAAATTGTGAGGAACAGAATTGGAGGTAAAGCAGACAGCTTCACAACTTGATGGCAACAGCAATGAAAGTAGGAGATAACTCATTTTGGGAGAGCCTCTATAGCAAAATTGCTTCTCCAATTGCTTCTCCAAGAAGAAAGAAGTCCTGATTTTATCTGTACCCTAAATGAGGCCAGTTTCAGCCTGATTTCTTTGTCCCCTGTCTAAACTGATCTCTGTAAGGTATACAACAAGTTCTTCTATCAGGGATTGTTAGACTCAAATATGCTTGACCTTCTGACTGTTCACCACACATAGGTGCTGCCCTGCCCACCTCTGATCTCAGCTTATGCTTTACTTGGAGTCATCCATACAGGGCAGCTGCCAGAAGCTGAAACCTACCTCCTGCTGAGGTTGTGGTGGGCTCCCTCCCCCATCTCTCTCCTTGCACTTGGAGGCCCCACACTTCTCCCACTTGACCATGTTTCCTCCTATTTCTCTAATCTCTAATTCCAGAGAAATGCTTATTTTTGGGAAAAGGCATGTACTTCAAGAACTGTTCCTTCCTCTTGTGAGGGGTGCTGTGTGATAGCAACCATAGCAAAGCACTTATTCTGACTCCTCACATCTGCCTCTTTACTTTTTGTTTGAGGACCTCCTGCTGAGCTTCTAAGAAAATACCTCATAATGAACTTAGTGCCTTCTAGACTAAATAACTTTCTCAGCATTGGTAGGTGTTATTTTAATGCTGTGACTATGATTCTCGAGTATGAATGCAGAGATCTCTGGGTCCAGGATCTGGCTGCCTCATCCCCTTCCTTCTTTCTCAGTCACTCCTGATCCATGGTGTTCAAATACCTTCTCATCTCAAAGGCTTCATCTAACATTCATTTTTTCTCAGTTTCACAACTTTTCATCCAGTACTGATGGTTTTTCACCCAGTCTGTTCCTTTGTCACCTCCACATATTTTTGGGACTGTGTCCCAAACCATAGTAGTCCAAACACAGATATCTAGGATACTGAGTGTTGCTTACATCACTAAAACCAGGACCCTCCTTGTCCTTGATGTAAGGCATTTTTTAAACACACCAGTGAGTGCTTCCAAGTCACTTTACTGCCATTTTATTCCTTGGTGTCTCCACTCTTAGAAATCCCTGCCGTGACCTCTGTTGCTCTATCTGCAGGCTAGACAGACAACATCACAGCTTCTCTGCTGTATTTCCTCCTGCTGCTTCTGTAACGCCACTTATGTCTCTCCATTTTCCTTTGGGAAGACCAGCTGCAATACCACTATCTAGAGCTCTTCCTTGCAAGCAGCAATGTATTATTTGAGTGCAATGGCTTCTGATAGTTCAACGTTTTGGTAAATAAATAGTTCAACAGTTTCAAGAAAGCAAATCAAGTTCCACCATCACAAGTTCATTTTATGCAGGATCCCTTCTCTGCAGATTGACACATCTCTCATGCTGTCAGGATAGTGAGTCCCAAGATATCACACTGTGCCTATTTTCCCACCCTTGTGAATCTTTATCTTTTATCTTCCAAGTTCTCGTTCCTGACTGGCTTTTAACTATTGCCTTACAATTTTTGGCATGTGGCTACTGGCAGGTGTTCATACACCACTGCTTTCCTGAGCCCAAGTCCCACATTCACGTACCTTTTACTCAATTCCTGATCATTTGCTGCTTGAAGGTGACACCAGAGTCAGATGGCCACCTTTCAAGGACTCAGGTCTCTAGTACAGTGCCTTCTGGTCCTCCTGTCAATATTAATAAACTGCTAAAGTAAGAGTCCCCTTTAAAAATATAATTGAATTAAAAATGTGTTTTCATAGGCATGTGCCACAAATTAGACTAATTCTCTATCACATGATAACAGGACACTAGCATTTGTTCACTAAATACACAGGGAATTGAATAAAGCAGAAAACAGCCATCAAGAGCTAGTCTTTGAAAAGGCACTGTCCATCAGTCATGAAATCCCTCTGCAGCACATTGCTGGTGCCAATGCAAGAATTTCAGGGCAGTGTCTTTGTATGGTTTACATTACTGCCAAAAGTCAGAAACAAGACGCTGAGCCAGCTGGATCTCTGCCTGATCACCTTATAGTATTTTAATTTTCTCTGTTCTAAGGCTGTAGTTACAAGCGTTAAATACTTCCAGGAAGTTCTTGGATGTGCTAAGACAGCAAAGATGAAATTTCAAAGGTGTCTCGAATTTAAAAGCTTAAACAGCAGAGCTGTTGATTACACATCAATAGCAACAAAATGAGAAGGACCAGAGAAGATTTTAAAAGAAAAACCTGTTAATTTTTTGTCATTGTAAGGTGGAAGGTCAAGTGAGGTCATTCACTAGAAGAAGTTTCTCTAGTTTTCGCTTTCTGTTTTCTGATCTTGAGATCTGAAAAATTTGAGAGTTGCTGCTAGTTAAAAGCCTGAGCCAATACCAAAATAAACCCCGGGAATTACACTGGGAATTTATTTTGCAACTGCCCCTTGCTTGTTTATATGCTTGAGACAAATTCAGGCAGAAATATTAGAAGTCTGTTTACTGAACAAGCAAAGCTGAGGAGGTGAGCACCTCCTGAGTGCAAAGGAGCATTTTGTTCATCATTAACTGACTGAGGCCCGATAATGCTGAGACATCCCTTTGTTGGGAGGATCTGAAGAGACAATCTGTAAGTGCCTGACAGCCCAGCTTGCACAGCTTTGCCAGCTTAATTAACACATTTCTTCCTCTGGGGAGGAGGGAGCTTCTGAACTGATGGAAAGAGTCCCCACACTGTTTGTAAAGTCACCCAAGTGCCACCAGCTCAGAGACTTTACCAGAGGGCTAGCTAGAAGCACAGGCTGCAGCTTTCCCTTTTTTCCCCAGTGAGTACCTTGGAGTGGAAAGCAAATCTGTTTCCTGACAAAGAATGACTCATACAGGCTGCTTGGCTTCCCTTGCTAGGTCGGTGATAGGGCATTTGGCTGTGTCTTCCAGGGTACCTTTTGTATATAAAATACCTGATACACATCTGTGATCTGGCTTTGCTCTTGCACCAATGTGTGTGAGAGCAAACACAGCAGGCTCAGGTGACTCATGGGGTGTTGCTAGAGCTAACTAAAAGAAGCAAGCTGGACAGATATGTTCAGGTCTCAAGTTCATGTCTAAGTGTGACTGAGGCACAGCAGCTAAGGAGGGAAACTGGAACTCGACATTCCCAAAGGTTGACCAGAGCAGTGGCACATGCCTGAGCTGTGCCTGAGCTCCTAGCAGAGGGCAGGGCAACAGAGAGGTTGTATTGCAGCTGGCCTTGCTGGCCAGAGAGCCTGGTTAGCCTCCTCTGGCCTCTGGTGCATGTGAACTCTCCTGCCAAGAGCCCCACAGTGCTGGAAAGGGAACAAGCAACAGGTCTGGGGCTGCCCCACAAACAGGAGAAAGAACTGCTGATGCTGCTTTCCTCAGTACTGGTACATGGCTCTGCTGTCAGCTGTGGTTCTTAAATGAAAGTAATTTTAAAGAATTTAGGTCAGTTTGTTTTTCTGCACAGAGGATGCAAGTGTTCAGTGCTTTACCTAGGGGTAATACAAACAATCCCTGTATCCCTCTGTGAGACAACTTGCTCTGAACAAACTTGCTTTATCATTTTGGTGTGCTCGAGGCTGTTGTTTTGGTTTTAATTGTTCTTATTTTAGCAGCACCTCAAAGATCCTACCAAAAGCAGGGCATCATCTTCGCAGCAATATAGAATGTAAAACAGTGCCCTCCCCAAACAGGTGGTGATCTCAGTACGTTTTGGAGGCTAAAGGGAGGATGCAGTGGAGCAAAGGTGTGGAGCAAAGGCGGAGCAATGCAGCAAGGTTTTTCCCCACAGGCATCCATCAGTTTAATGGCCAAGTGGAGACTGGAGGTCGGGTTTCCTGGCACTGTGGCATGCACCCACTTTTCCAGTCATCCCAATCATCACATCTGCACATTTGGATTAACGTGGAATTTGTCCTCTTGCCCACAGCAAACTGTGTCTGGGCAGGCTGCCTGAGTACTTCTTTTCTAAACACATCACATTAGCCCTTCTCACTGTCAGAATATCACCTCACAAACATTCATGTAAGAGCTAGTCCAGCACAACCATCAAAGAGGAGAAGCAACTTAAAGCCAGGTTTGACTCCATAACTCTCC